AGGCGGGGGCACTGTGTGGGGCTGGGGCACTCCGCTGGCAGGGGGCATGGTGTGGGGGACGAGTGCTGCGTGGGGAGGGGATTTTCCAAGCGGGGATCTGGCAGGATGCCCTGGCGTTCGCTGCCACCCCGGAGGGTAGCTGTGTGTCCTGGCACCGTGGTCGGTTCAGCCCAGGGGAGAGGGGCGGAGATGTTGCAGGGCACCATGAGCAGACAGACAGACAGACAGACAGACAGACAGACGCCCTCCCACCCACACTCAGGGAAAAGCCAGAGAAGCTCTGTTGGCAAAACTCATCCAGGCAGCCACGTCGGCAGCCCATGAAACCTGGGGCAGGAGGGACTGACCCCTGGAGGACAGACGGCTGGGCCGAGGTGGACAGACAGACAGGCAGACAGACAGGCTGAGGGGGAGGGATGGCCAGGCTGGGGGGACAAATAGGCTGTGAGGAAGAGACAGACAGACCAGGGAGAGAGGACAGACAACCTGGCCAGGGAGGGACAGACCGACAAACTGAGCAGACAGACGGACGGGCTGGGGAGAGGACAGACACCAGCGAACCCAGAATCAGCGGCCCCCTTCCCTGCCCCACCCAGTCCTGCCTCAGCCGCACGCCTGCCCCAGGCTGGCCACGTCCCCCTCGGAGGATGGCAGGAGCCTCCAGGCCCAGGCTGCCCCATCAGCCCCTCCTGCTGACACTCTGAGCCAACTCCGGCTTCCAGCATCCGCCCGCCCTGCTCCTCTGCGGGCGCCAGATCCACCGTGCCCGGCAGCCAGACACCTCTGCATGCCCAGCCTCGGTCTGGCCCCCTTGGCCCACGGGCTCCCTGGTTTCCCCCCACGGGCGCCTGGCCCCAACACCCAGCTGTGAGCAGACTTCTGGGCTGTTCCTCCCCCCATCCCCAGACACCCCTGTGCTGAGCCTTTGGATCTTGGCTAAACCAGCCACAAGCCAAGGCTACAGCAGGGCGACTCGAGACACGATGGCAGGGAATTGATTTGCTGAGACCATCCCCACGCTGCCGAGGAAGGTGACCCCCCCCCCTCCGAGGATCCCTGCCCATCTGACCCAGGGGGAAATTCCTTCCCTCCCCTAATCCGTGGGTCAGTCTCCCCCATCCCCCCAGAGCACCAGCCCACCTGCCCTGGATCCCAGCAGCAGATGTGGCCGAGCTCTGATGCTTCACAGGAAGGAAGGGGAGAAAGCCCGGACCCATCGGCTCAGCTGCGCCGTAGGGAAGGGACGTTCCTTCCTGATCCCTGCAGCCCGGAAGCATGAGATTGGATCCTAGCCATTGTCTTAAAGCGGAGCTGAGAGGAGGGTGAGAGAGATTCCTCTTCTGCCCATGATGGGAGGGAATGAGCAATGGAGCTGGCAGATTCCAAGGCCAGAGCTGACCCCGGCTGCAAAATCCCTCCCGGACGCTGGATTAAAGCCCCTCTCTTAGAAAGTCTCAGAGGGGCCGCCGTGCTAGTCTGTCACTTTAAAAACAACGAGGAGCAAATTGCGTAGCTTATTTCGAGCTTATTTCGAGATCGTCTGTTTCAAAATTTGGCGCTGTCTACACAAGGGCCAGATTTCGAAATAGAGCACTATTCTGACAAATCCTTTAATCCCCGTGGCACAAGGTTTACCGAGACGTCGGAATAGCACAGCCATTATTTCAATTGCATTTCGAAATCACGGGCGTGCGGTAAAGACGCGGAAAATGCTATTTCGGGATTATCCCGAAATAGCGCTGTAGTCTAGACATACCCCTAGCGACTAACAGAAATATACAGAGTCATGAGCTTTTGTGGGTTAGACCCACTTCCTCGGATGAGTTGGAGTGGAAATAACAGAATCCAAGAGACATATAGAACAGCAGAAAAAGTACCTGTCAGTGGTTACTGAGGCTAATTAAGTGAGCTGGATGTATCCCATTCAGAGCTTTAGATGTGGAAATGCGGGTATTAAAGGCAGGAGAAATTGACTCTGTAATGCGCTGACCAGTTAATGGCTTTGTTCATGCCCAGGGTAACAGTGTCAAGTTTGTAGACTTTCCAGTTCTGCAGACTCTCTGCCTAATTGGGGAGTGAAATTCCTTTGTAGCAGGATGGTAACTTGTAAATCCATGACTGTGTGTCCAGGCAGGTGAAAATGGTCCCTTACAGGTTTGTGTGATGTCTGATTTGTGTCCATTTCTCCTTTGCGCGGCGCCTGTCCGATGTACGCAGCAGAGGGCCATGGCTGGCACTTGTTGGCGTATATCCCATTGCAGGCTGTGCCGTGAGGTGGTAGCTGGGGGTGTTAGGGGTGGCGGTGGTGTCGGGGGTGCAGCTGTGCGGACAGAGGTTTGTTGCGGGGGGGGTTCCTGGGGAAGTGTGTTTGAGGTGTGGCGTGGGGAGGCTGCGTCAGGTTGGGGGGCTGTCTCTGGACGAGCACCGGCCTGTCTCCCACGGCCTGAGAGTGAGGGAGCGTTTTCCAGGACAGGTTGTAGATTCTCCGAAGCCCCCAAGCGATGAGCCCTCCCCAGGGAAGCAGTTTCGTTGCATAATCCCCTTCCAGGGTCGGATCGATCTACCTTCAGCGGCCTCGTTCAGCCTGTCGGCCAGAGCGGAAAGTCCCTGCCCTGGGCCCAGAGCCAGCCTCCATCGCCAACGGACTTTTAATCTGCCAAGGGCCCGCTGCAAGGTCAGCTGCTGCCAGGCCCTGCGACTCGCCCGATGAGACCGATGAGGTGGGGGGTGAGGAATGGGCCCGCCCGCCGCTTGTCCGAAAGTCCCCAAAGACGTGAGGGGTCGTGGCCCTTCCAACCGCCTGATGTTAATGTCGGTGCAAGCCCCTGGCGGAGCCCGGGATGCATCCCCCTTCCTCAGCGGCAGGGGGGGGGGGGGGGGGGGGGCGGGCGG